CGAACCAATAAAGCGGCTAAAGATTTCGCATATGTTGCCCAATATCGAACTACAATAAATGAACTTGAAACTAAAGCCTTCAAAATGACGCAGGAGGAAAACATCAGGCTTCTAACAGCTGAGGTGGAGACTACCAAGAAGAAGGCCAACGACTTTGGGGCTGCCCTTAAGAATGCTCAGTCAGACCTCAAGGCTCTAGAGGGTGCTGATAGTGAGAACAACAGCCTTAGAGTAGACGTCGCCCGCCTGAAAAACAAGATGGCCCAGGCTCAGGCTAACTTCAAGGTCACTCTGACGACGGAACAAAAATGCCTCGTTGAGGAGAATGAGACCGACTACGAATCGCATGAAGATAGCTTGGGAGACGTTACATCCGGGGAAGGAGTACGACATTTGGGCACTGCCTTACCAATATGCTGATGAGGTTCAATTAGCACGAGATGAAGGCAAGCCGGATCCAGCCCGTTTAAAGTCTGGGCCAACAAAGAAGTTGATGAGAGGGAACCAATTCAGAGGGCAGGCGGAGGAGGAGAGGAGCAAGTGCCAAAGGAAAATATTATCCAAGACTCTCATGTTCCTCTGCCTGAGACAGACGCTCAAAACCACCCGTCTGCACCTCAATAGTTCCAGCTTAGTTTTTCTGCGGCACTATGCCAATTACTTTTCTAATGCCTGCGTGTCGTGTATTTGAATGTAATGAATCAACAATTTAATTGTTTTTTGTTTTTACCCGAATGGTTATCTAGTCAACATTTCCTCCCAACTATTATGGCCGGGTTTTATTTATGAAAGTACCGACTGAGTCAGTTTTGATTCAATTTGCTTCAACTAATTTTTTTTAAAAAATTTGCATTTTATATTTTTGTGTATGTATGTGAATTTGCCTAACTTATTAAAAGCATGCGGCAACCGACTGTACTTGCACCTGGGCAGCTGTGTGGTTGGTTTCAAAACTTGATTGATTGACTTGGGAACTTTTGATACTTTAAAGAGTATGAGATGTTCCTAAGTCAATCAATCACAATAATGATTTCCCCAAACCAAGCACACAGCCGTCCAACAAGCAGAGCAGTCGATTTTGTACCGTGTGGGTTACGTGCAATCCAATTATACTCTATGTCCGTTTGCCCCATTGGGAGGACTTGTACAATTTCGAGAAATAATCTAAGTAAGAACTTTGGCCGGTCACCTGCTGATGTCGTTAGACATCCGGCTCTCATAGACTTAGTCGTTCTTTAGATTACTCAGGTCAGACGACTAAAAGTTGACCAATTAGGTCGTTCAATCTTTGTCGTTTATATGCATTTGTAGAGCAATGTGCCACCCGAATGGGAGATTCCCTTTGCGACAATTCCACCCTGATGGGCGTCGTCGGATGCCTTACTCATATTGGAGCAAACAAATTTATAAATTTAAATATGATCCAGCCATTGGCCTCACATCTTCGCCAGACGTTCATTTAGCCATAAGTTTTTGTACTTAGTTTTTTATTTCTTAGTTTTCAAAAGTGTGCTTTCTGTACACTATACAGATGGTATTTTAAACATTCCGGATGTACATAAAGCAACAAATAAAGCAATTGGAAATAAAAGCATCTTTTCATTAAAAGGCTTTTCATTTACAAAAATTAACAACTCAGAAGTAGTACTTTTTGAGGTTATCTACGTTCCAAGTTCTAGGCAGCCGCCTACCATCTGGGGTTTCCAGGCGGTAAGTGTCGTTTCTAACTTCTTCATAAATCTAGTAGGGACCTTCTCAATCAAGAGTTAACTTTCCCTGCCCATTGGCCCTATCGGTTGCCTCCATTTTGCGTAACACAAACGAGTCACCTTCTTTTAGGGGTCGTTTGTGTACTCTTTTGTTGTAGGAACGGGTCATTCTAAGAAGGTAAATCTCATGACGCAAGTCGGCATTGCCCATGCGCTTTGGGAGTAACTCCAATGTTAGTCTCATGGTCTTCTAGTTTGCCTCTTCATCGTATAGCATGACTCGAAGAGTTGGTTCATAATGCTTGATGGGCAAGACGGCTTCAGCACCGTAAACCATGAGAAATGGGGTTTCACCGGGTACCCCTTTTTAGTCGTCCAGATGGCCCATATGACATGAATTAATTTTTCAGCCCATAAACCACCGACCCTTTCTATTTTCTTCGTAATGTCGTCTGATATGAGTTTGTTGAAGGCTCCAACTTGACCGTTTGCTTGGGGTCGGTCGACTGATGCAAAACAATGTGAGATCCCCTGATCTCCCAACCAAGTCTTGAGCTGGGGCGTTTCAAACTGAGGGCCATTGTCGAAAACCATAGACATAGATACCCCAAATCGGGTGATGATGTTCTTCCAGATGAAAGAGATGACATCCATTGTCTTGATATTCTTGACCGCCTCTGCCTCAACCCACTTGGTGAAATAATCCATAGTCACCAGAATGTACTGTTTTCCGCCTAGAGTAGGCGTATACGGACCCAAGATGTCCCTGGAACGAATGTGCTTAGAGATGAATGACCCGCCAGGGGCCACATAAGTTTCGACTTCATAGTTGTTATCTGAATCATAGTCCGTATGGACCTCCCCATCGACCGTAGTCCGTTCGGGTTCAGATGGCAGTACAAAATCTTGAACCATCTTAGAGGTACTCTCTCCATAGACGACGCCAAATGTTTTGGGTAGGGCTGGCAATCCCTGACCCGACCCGATAACCCGAACGAACCCGACCCGAAGTTACTGAGAGAAACCCGAACCCGACCCGATCCGAACCCAAATAACCCGAATTCGACCCGATTTGACCAAAATTTCATATTTCGTAATAATTTTAAGTTTTGCACTATTTTTTATTATTTCTAAGCATAACCCGAAATTGACCCGAAATTTGACCCGAACCTGACCCACTGACCCGAATTGCCACCTCTAGTTTTGGGTGTTTTTGGTCCATCGGGAGAGTTACATCACCAAGACTAGTCTGGCGTTGTCTGTACCTGCAAGACACGAAGACTTCGGATGGTAAGAACTCCGCCTCCGACGATCAAGTTAGTCGTAGAAGTTGAAAAGGCTCGGAAAAGGTAAAAGTAAGATCTTCTCGGATTCCAAGATCATGTGTTTTCTCCAATGTGAGAGAATGTAGGGTTGTTGTGATAATTGTAGGTGTCCCCAAAACGGGGAGAATCTCCCTACTTATAGGTTCATTGGTAAATTTGGCCTTGATTAGGTCACTCTAACCTAATTTTGATGGGTTGCGTCGCATTGCAGCTTTCTCGGGATTTGGGCCCTGAAGGCCGTCTTTTTTCAGAACTCTGGGAGCTCCACGTGTCAAGTAGGGATAGGTCTATTTTGGCCTTATCTTGGGCTGACACGTGTTGCCTTCTGGCTGGACCACGTGACATGGGTAATTTTTACCCAAAACAATACACATTCACGACTAGCCTCATGAATAGTTATAATCTCATAATGGTTAGAAGAAGTAGGAGTTATGGTTTGTTTCATAAATCGCCAAGAAATGGCAGTATCATCATAGGTAAACACATATCAAGTTTGTGATCGAGCATTATATGGATCACATAAATAACCTGTAGATAAATAATCTGCATCTACAAAACCAATTAAATCTTCTTTGGACAATTTAGAAAAGTATAAACCCATATCTTTCGTACATTGGAGGTAATGAAGTACATGTTTAATCCCATTCCAATGCTTCCGAGTTGGACATAAACTAAACCTTGCTAGTAAATTTACTGAAAATAATATGTCAAGTCATGTATGGCTAGCAAGGTACAGTAATGCTCCTATCGCACTTAAGTATGTTACTTCTGGACCAAGAATCTCTTCATCATTTTCTCGAGGGCAGAATGGATCCTTCTCTACATCTAGTGATCTTACAACCATGGGATTACTAAATGGATGTGCTTTATCAATAGAAAACCTTTTGAGAACCTTCTCTATCTGTGTTGATTGATGCACAAGGATACCATTCATTAGGAACTCAATAAGTCAATTTGTAATCCCAAATAGAATTTTGTTTTTCCGAGATCTTTACCATGAATTCATAATAACTAACCTAGATTGATCTCTTCAGGAATTTCGTCAATTTCCATCACGTTAAATGCAACAAATCAATGGAAAAAATTAATAGGGGAAAAAAATCAAAGAATAGAGGAGAGTTAAAATAAGAATTAGAGAAAAAAAAAGAATGAATTAAAATTGAGAAAGAAATAGAAAGAGATCAAATTAAAAAAAGAAAGAGAGATTCTATAATTTAGGAAACAAAACATTAACAAAAAAAATAATACTCATCAATATAATAGTCCTATATCGTATATGGAATCAATCACATAAAACAAAAAAGAAATTTATATATATATGGAATCTTGCATTAAAGTAAAAAAACAATTCAAAAATAATTATTAAATTTTTTTGATTTTTTTTAGGAAACCGTCTACTATGATTGCATAAAGGGGATAATTTCTTTACTTAGAGTCATGTCATCAATTCACAATTAATTAATTAACCAATCAGAATTTAATATGTATAAAATAGAAAATACAAACTAAGTTAAAAGTGAAATACATTCAGTATAGGTAGATCTTTTTAAAACGCCCAAATTTGTATAGTAGGGGACTAAAAAACTGAAACGGAGGGAGTAATACAAAAGTTAAGATGGCGGGAAGAGCAGAAGTAAAATGAGTTGTGTTTCATTCATATACACTGATACACATGCATTTAGTAAGTGGTTCACCTATACTAAATGGACCAGGGTCCATAGAATTCCTAAAGAAAATTTCAGCATTACTCAAAACAGAATCACAATTTTTTTTTTTCTTCTATTTTTCTGCACATAAATATGTACACATCAGTACATCACAAATGAAATCAGCATCAGTCACAGAACTGGTTTAAGTCATAAAATATGACTGAAAAACTTCAAGTCGTAAAATGAATTTCTGATTTTTCAAGAAAGTATTCAAGAATACATTCTTTCTCCAACATTCCTACATTTTGGAAAGTAACTTAGTAGCAAAATAAAGTATCACTTTGATTCTCATAAGATTCAATAACAATTTTTTGCAAACAAGCAAAATTAGTTCTCAAGTATCAAGTCATTTGGATATAAAAAGAATGTTACTTCGAACAGAGAAATCATGTCCATAGCTACTTACAGCATAACTAATATGGAAGTATACTGAAAACCTATTTTCTTCCATATGTCTAAAATTTGGGTTCAACCAAACGCGAGTAAAGTTAATTACATGCCATTTGCCTTTCTAAGAAAGCAATACCATGACCAGAAGTTTCCTACAGTTAATAGGTTTTGAGTAGTTGGGGAAAAGTGTTATTATATGCACAAGTTTCTTAGCATATGCAACAAGAATTTCTAGATAGCTCGAGCATGACTTACAAAATCTACTTTATGTTGCATAATAATGCATCAGTGGAAGCCATGGGAACCATACAGAGACCTTTACTCTCGAAAAGATTATGTGCTGCTACTGGATTCTCCTCTAATAAGCTTCCAAGAATTTCTTCAAGAGACTCACCAAACATTTGTTCATGTGATTGGTAGTGTCCATAACCCTGGGAATTACATTATATTATATTAAAACAATTAGACGAAATACTTGCGCCTTCACAGGACGTAAAAAGAAACTATTGGAAAGCAGAAAGCACCTCATCAAATTTCAATGGACCAGAGCTTGAATCACCTCCCAGTCTGCTTCTGCTCAATTCCTGGTTGTTAAATTGCGTGTTTAGTTTCTAGACTTTCTACCACAAATATCAGCGACAATTGCAAGCATGCCAGGATGTGATATACATGAATATGAGGGTGCAAGTGAATGATGCCTGACAGTCGGAAAGTACCTTGAGTTGAAGCTGCAAATACTTGATATGACCAATGACATCATTCACAACAGACTCTTGGTTACCTCGTTTATCCTGCAGCATCCAAACAGAAACAAAAGAAAAATTCAACAGACATCTACAAACTACCAAGTAACAACGTTTTTAGCACCAAAAATGAACAATGATGTATGAAGCCTAGCAAAAGGAGTGAGCAACTTTTTGATAATAATCTTTAAAAGAATAAATCTATGACAAACTATTCTAACTAAAAAGATCTAAATCAGGAGATTAAGTAATTAGAACTTAGGAAGATGAAGCTACTAATGGTAGTCAAATAACTGAGAAACAAAGCACACATGGGACTATGAGAGCACTAGCTCTTTCAACGCTTGCTCTCAGAGTAATTAGGTATCTATTTGTACCATGTATGTTAAGAAGTTTGTAAATATCACCTTACATCACCATCATTTGCATCTGAAGGACTTGCATCACTATACTATTATTACAAATAGAATAGACACTCAAGCTGGAAACTTTTAGAGAGTGTCGTTCTACTGCTATCCCTTTTCTGTCTCCCTCTCTACAAATCTATTACTGTCAACCCACGGTCTATACGAAATCTCTTCCCCAAGATAAAAGGGTAAAAATTAGGTAAATTATAATGACCAAAACACACACACACACACACACAAAGAAAGGAATTTTTTTTCTCAAAACTCACAAAATCAAGAAACAAAAATCAAAAAAGCAAAGTTGCCAAAGTCTAATTATGGAAAAAAAAAAAAAAAGGTAATTTACTGCAACAGAACTAACAAATACAGATATATACAATTTAGAGCAGTAAACAGTAAACACCTTGAAGGTTGCAGGAAGGAGATCATGCAAATCTTGCACCCTTTGACTGATAATGAGTCTACGACGCTGCACAAAGGAGAGAAGTTAGAAAGCCAAACAATCATTCACCTTTTGCACAGATTACTAGGAAGGTGGATAAAAAATGAAATGGGGTTTGATTGATTAATGGTGAATTTAAGAAACAAAATAGTGAAATTTAATTGATTAAAAATGACTTGACTGGTGAATAATTAAAAGATAATAACAAAAAAAAAAAAGATAGTGAAGAAATGAGACTTTTTATTTATGACAAGATATTTTGGGACTTTTATTTGGGAACAAAGGGAGTAAATCAAAACTAGTTAATGGCCTTGGGTGATGCCTTAGTTACCATACAAATAACAATAATTATGTCCTTATGCATAAAATTTAAAAGGAGCACAAGTAATATGACATAGCCTAAGGGTTGACTCTCTAAAGTTGAAACATGAGATCATGGATTCAAATACTGTACAAACTACATTTCTGACTCATAAAACTTATGTAAATGACATGTAATAAAACCCAATGAAAGGAGAGAACCATGTGGCACATAAATTTGCTTTGGAACACATTCTATAACTACAAACACCAATTAGAAGTTACACTTTCAAAGTTAGAAAAAGGAAATAATTTTAGGACTAAAATCAAGTTTACATGGCAAAAGAGGGAGAAAAACTCCCATGTGAAAGTATATGGACATGTTATTCAAACTCAGGTTCTAGTTCCTTTCATATCATCATTAAACAGCATCAAAGAAATTGCAAAAATCCTTAAAGAGCAGATTTCAAGTGGGTGTATTTTATAATATTGTCATCAATTATTAATGGAGGGGAATCGTCCTAGATAGTGGTAAAAATTGCAACAGGCCATCTACTTGAATTAACTCAACATGAAATGCTGAAATTTTCTCCAACAATAGCACTGTACATGATTTACATTGCTGACCCATATGGTCAGCAAAGCAATCTTACTTACAGTTTCAGCTTCTTTTGATCGTTCTCTGTTTGTTCTGGACACACTTCTCAATGTTACTGGGGCTACATCAGATGTATCTGCCTCAACTTTCACATTTGACAGAAATTCATGGGTGTCATTTACGTTTCCTGCTTGTACTGGAAACACAGGACTCTGTTGTATTAATTGCAAACAAGATCAGCTACACTTGAAATATTATAAAAAATATTTAAGAAAATATCTGGTAGAGAAAAATAAGTTAAAAGTAAGGATAAAGTAGGCTGTGGAGAGTAAGTTTGGATGTATTCACCTCAACTTGTTGCCATTCCATATCCATATATGATATAGGTTCTTCCTTGGGCATCCATTGATTTAACTGCTATATTGTAGACAATTAATGCTTGAATTTCAACTTCCAAACAATTTCATTTTGTATACAAGCACCTTTAGCATAGTTAAACAATTGAACTCACCACAAAATTGTCTAGTCCCCCATGTCCGCTGCTCTCTTGTGGCCCATAGAATGGAATGCTTGATCTTAGAGCTGAAATGTCATAGTTTTGCGCTTCCGAATGATCGATAAAAGGATCAGTACTCAGAGGAATATGGGTGAGACCAGCCAATGCATCAGAATGTGTGACATCAGTAGCATTATATATTGTGTTCATCGGGACCTGAGAGAATCCATTAGCAGCTAGAATTGTGTCTCTATACCAGAATTGGCTGTCCATCATAGCGCTGGTCTGATCTGCAGGAGGAAAGGGTAAAAGATTCCCATTGTAGAAGTCAGCACCACTGAAAGGTACTTGCTCACTGCAGACCATTTCTTTCCCAATCACAAATGGAACTTCTTTGTGGATCTCTGCTGCAGCAAGAAATTGCTTAATTAATATTATTAGAAATAGATAAGAAAGATAAAGTGGGAAATAGATTCATTTCCAAATACATGAATGCTTCTAAACACATCAGAGTGGAAAAATCATTATGACTACTACCAAACCTTCATCTCAGTAGAGAAACAGAATGAATGACGTTCATGGAAGGATCTCCAACATCAATGCTTTCTAGAAATAATGAAAATAAATAATCTTTTTAGATACATAGTATCCCGTGTTTGATTCTAAAAAATGTGCCTTGGGACAAAGATGATCGAGAAATCAAAATATATGTTCCTAAATAATTAAAAATAGCTAAGACATTCCTCCCCAGTACCCACACCTATTTTTCAAGAGAGCAAGTTTTCAGGACCAGTGCAGCATTTATATCAATGAACTTCAGCCTGATGCCGTGGCAGGAGCAGGATCAGTCAAATCGTCCGCTTACCTAACACAGTTACAGTATCTTGCCATTTTGTAACTTTAATGCAAATGCAACACAATAGTCAAGAGCATATACAGAAGCACCTTTAGAAACAAATTCAGAGCTCTAAGACATAAGTTGACAGCTTAGGATCTACACTTCCTATAATAGATTTTGGTCAATATTATACAACTATTAGAAACTATTGAGCAGTAAACTATCATAAATAGGTTCTTTGGTAACAAGCGAAACAATTTGGAAATTGAATGAGCGGTAACAGCCAAACAAGTACAAAGCACAAGCCAACAGGAAGAACAAGTCAACAACAGTGATAATACGGAAAATGACACCCAAATCAACAAGTTAAGCACACAAAATGACACCCATACAAGTACTAAACATAAACCAACTCGAAAACCAAATCATCAATATGGCTATGTACGGACCCAAACCACCAAGTAAAACACCAAACCACCAAGTAAAGCACCAAAAATGACTCCCAAACAAACACTAAATACCCAACCAACAAGAAGACCAAATCTACAATACGGTCATGTACAGACCCAAATCAACAAGTAAAGCACACAAAATGACACCCAAACAAGAACTAAAAACAAAACAACATGAAGACCAAATCAACAATACGGTCATGTACGGACCCAAACCACCATGTAAAGCACGCAAGATGACATGGCACCGTATACATTAACATGTCATACATATGCAAAATTAATGTCAAACATTATTAAAAGGTTCACATAGCCATGGCAGGAGGGGCAGCCGCCCCAAGCCTAGGAAGAAAAGCCTCACTTCGACATTTTTCCATCCTAACATCAAAAGGGTTCATGGTTAAGGTGGTTAATAGTATTGGGGTTCAATGAGGGGTGCTAAACCTTCGAGCCGAGCCTGAATAAGAGCAGGTCTGGGCTTGGCAGGCCCAGCTTAAACTCGAAGCTCGACGAGCCTAAAAAACCCAAGCTTGTATCAGGTTCTAATAATCACAAAATGACTCAAAACTCAAAAATGCAACACATTTAGTAAACAAAATGGACAGAATTATCGAATTTGGAAAAAAAAAAATTCATATAAAATTATTCAAGATGTAAACTGCATATGCCAGAACTCCAGCAACAAAAATGGTTCGTTATAATCTTCTATAAGTTCAGTAATAATCCAACTTAGAAAGTTAGAAGAACCCTTAAACGAATGAGTTTACTGATAAGCCATATTAATGGAAGAAATTAAGGTCGGTGAAACTAAGCCCTACCTTTGTTGAATTGAACTAAGCCCTCAGAGAAAAAAAATAATAATTAATTAAAAAAAAATAATAAAAAAATAAAACTGCTTACCTCAGCTTGAAGCTGCTTCAATGGAGAAGTCAGAGAAGCTTTAGTAGAGGAGAGAGAGAGACTGGTGCAGCGTTAAAATGAAAAACTCGTGAGAGGTTAAAAGTGAAATAAGGTGGCAAAGTCGTACGGGAGCACTGTAATATTTTGGGGTAAAATCGGAAGAAAATACGGGTTTCTCGAGCTAAGAAACATTTTTTAAATTTTTTTTAAATTTTTAATAGTGAGGAACAAGCAAAGAAAAGCTAAAACACAAACTAATTAAAAGGAACAAAAAAAAACTCCGGAATACAAGCCTTCCATGCCAACCAATGTGTCGGAGACACCCAATGTCGGGGGACCTTCCGAATCCTACAGATTTCAATCGTCGAAACAAGAGCCCGAATATCTCAAATTAACCAGTAAAGAGATATCTCATCACGTTGCATGTGAGCCAAAATCAAACGTAGTTGTTCACAATATGAGTAAATAAGGATTCTCCGGAATCCTTTTGAAAAAGCATGACGGAACCCCTAGAAACAAGCTTGTAACTCGGAATGGATAGCAAAAGACAACAGAGAGGCCCGAGCACCACCGCCACGAACCGAAGATAAACCATAATATCGAAAAACCAAACCTGCTCCAGCCAAATTATCCACAGGAGACCAAGCCCCATCACATAGTAGACAAATATCAACCCAGAAGAGGAGTCCCCACAAAAGTAGCCTCAAAACTAAGCAAGAAGGCCTAGACCGAATACCCTCAATCGAGAAACATTCTGGTGTCGAAAACGTACATTATTACGATAAAGCCAAATGGCCCATAACATGACAAAAAAACGCACCAAATTCTCCCAATCCTAAGCTGTCCATAACAGAGAAACCATAGTGAAAATTCATTAAAGGAACGGAAGACGAACAGACCCTATTGTTGAAACCGAAAGGAACTGTGCACCCTTAATGAGGACGAAAAGGAAAAATCTCTAAATAAATGACCTACTATCTCCTGGAAACGGTGACAAAAACAGCAAACATAATCCACTGAAATGCCACGAACTGCTAAGATAACTGCCACCGGAAGATTAGAATGAATAAGTTTCCAACCAAAAACTTTCCACTTAGGAAGAATAAGGAGACCCCAGAATTTTCCTTACCAAGAAGGAGGAAGTAAACCCCGAGAAGGACAAGCCAAAGTCTACTAAAACAAGAGAGCATAAGTCGACTTTGTGGAGAGCGAGCCATCCCTAGTGTATTTCCAATACACAAAATCATCCATAAGTTCCAAAGGATGGTCCAAGCTTAGAATCCAAATAGTCGTTGGATTATAAAAAAAACCAATGGACTTTCGAAGAGTCACACGCGTTTGAACGCGGATCGATAATATCAGACACAAGAGTCGAAACTTCCGACTGACATAAACCAAGTTTGAAATGAACCGAACCACCAGGAGCCCAGTCATCCACTGTAATGCGAACGCTCCTCCCACTGCCCACCTTCCAACCAACGACAGGGCCAACTACATAAACATTGTGGTTGTGTTTGGTAAATACTACCTCCGTTTTTTAGTTGGCACGTTTTGTCTTTGGCACAATTTACATATATTTTTTTTACTTTGTTTTGTGCTTTATACGTAATGAAAATTATTTTTTGGTGCAGATACGTAATGTAGGATTTTGTTAGATTCGTCACGATATATGTTTTCAAAATATCAACTTTTCATAATTTTTTTGCTTATCAGGTAATTAATGATTGAATTTATGCATTGGCAAACGTGATTACAGAAATGTGTTAACTAATAAGAAACGGATGAAGTGGCTTATTTGAGTAAAATTGAAAGGTTGTTATATACACCCGGGTGTATGTACCATACACCCATAAGTATTTGTTCTCATTTTGATGATTGTTTTTCATTTATCATCATATGAAGAGCAAAAACTAACTTTAGGTTAGTTTGGTGTACGGTACACCCGGGTGTATATAACAAATTCTAAGCTAATTTGAACAACATTCATTTATTCACTATAAAATAAGCTAATTAAAAGTTATTGGTGGAAAGTTTATTGGAATAATTGATTCTAATAATCCCACCTTTGGTTGGTTCGTTGTTAAATCGCACCTTTTGATTATTATCTAATAATCCCACCTTTAGGGGCAATTTTCTTCTATTGGTCTCTAACTTGTTGGTAACCAGTTTTGATAGGTGAATATGCTACATGTCAATTTGTGATTGGTTGATTTTTTTTAAAATAAAAACTAAAATATTAAATAAATAAAACCTCAACTACCCAATCCCCATGCTACCCCATCCCTTCACACCCCCTCTACCCTCCGACAGCCCCCATCTGCACCCCTACCACCACCAGAATCTTCCCCTCTCCACGACCCACCCAACGACAACGCCCTCTCACCTTGATATCCACCACGAAACGCTAAACCCACCCCCGAAAACCACCCCGTCCCCTATCCCCACCTCGAAAACCACACGTCTTCCCTTCAACAATGCTCAAAAACACCAACATTCTCCAAAACCAACAATTCAATCCCTTTATCATCAAATTAAGGACCCCCCACTTAGATACAAAAATGATAACATGTAAATTGATATGAAGAAATTGAATAATTTAGAATCAAATTCAATTAACACAAATAAATAAGGTAAAAATTAAACTTGAGATAAGTCACGAGATTGTTGCAGCAAAATTATCGGTGACCACAAGGAGAGAAAGAGGTCGACAGTCGAGAAAAGAGGGTTTGGGTTTACGATTTCATGGTGGATTTCGAGGAGGGAGCATTGTCGTTGGGTGGGTCGTGGAGAGGGAAAGATTCTAGTGGTGGTGACCAGTGAGGGTAGAGGTAGGGGCTGCTGGAGGGTGGAGGAGATAAGAAGGACGACTGAGGAAGTTGGGATGGGGATGGCGTGAAGTTTGGGTGGCTGGGTATGTTTTGCTTTTTTCGTTTTTTAATTTTTTTGACCAATTGCGTTATAACACATGTCACTTAAATTTATATATTAAAAAAATACCCATATAGGTAACCAGTCATAAAGGATCATTAGAAGAGAATCTTATATAAAGGTGAGATTTTTAGATAATAATTAAAAGATGGTATTATTAACAATGAATTGGTTAAAGGTGAGATTATTAAAATCAATTTTTTCAAGTGTATTTAAAGAGTTTGTTCCACTAAATAAGATTTTTTTTTTTATAAAAAAAAAACCCCTCATTTTTCATTAACTTATTCAATATTTTATGGTGAAATAACATTTATACCACCCATTTATTACTCTTTATTCTTTAAAGTAAACTCCCATTTTTTGTTAGAAATTTTTATTTTCCGAAAATACCCTTCTTTACAATTACTAGGGAATAAAAAAAACAATTATTTTTTCTTAATCACCAAATTCTTTTTCTATAAAAATAGAGAAATAAAAGCTTTAATATATAATAAAAAAAAAATTTGCTTCCAAGTTCCTCTCTTTTTTCAATTATGCAGACACCTGATTGTGTCTCCACAAAAACCAAACCCAGTGATGAATACCTTTCACATTATTGATTATCGAACGAAGTGAAAGTGTAAAAAGTCTTGTGATGCGGTTGTTTTAATAAAAAATACTTCCTTTTTGTTTTCGAAAATGTACTCTATTTAAGATAATGTCCAGTCCAATTTAGTTGGGTCCATGATAAGGGTCTAATAATAGTGTAGTTGGATTGAGCTCGAAAAGAGCTTTCTAATGAAATATTATAAGCCCAATTCCGATAAATAATGAGGAAGTTATGACCAAAATACTAAATTGGGCTTGAAATGGTTTTATATGGCTCAATGATCAAGTGGAGGACCCATTAATTAATAATCTTAAAGTCATTAGGATTGAATTTAATCTTCTAGAATAATCTAGAAGGTTATTTTGAGTTCTAGGGAAATTAGGATTAATAGTTATATTTTCAGAAAATAAAGAATTCTATATTGATTAAAACGAGTGTTTTAAAAAAGATTAAATATGATTTTAAAAGAAAAGTATGGACTTAATCAAATTTGATTAGATTAAGGATTCCGTACGGATTCTAGAAAACGCATTCACGAGTCTTAGACACACCTGGCCAAGCTAGAAGTTGCCTTCGCCCTAGACATGAAAGGTTGATAATTTCTGAGGGTTTTGGTCTCAAATCCCTATTTCAATTATTTAAATTAATGGTTTGATTTGATATTTTCCTTGAAGTTACTAACTGTAGGGAATATTTCAAGCATTACCCCAAACTTGAACCCCATTGTGATCATACACTTAAGCATGGTGGCGTCAAAGGGAAGGAAGCTAAAGCAAAAGAGTCGCCAACAAGTTTTAGGAACTTGTAACCCGTTCACAAGGTGAAGGTTACACCCCTTAACGATCCAAGAGATCGTTAACTCCAATAGGTCTGGAACCAAGACTGGAAGTTCGGGGATGAAGATACAAATCCAATATAAAAGAGAAAGAACCTGCCCTAGCAATAAGCCTCTACTTTATTCTTTTCGTATTCATGTGCGCTTTCTGGCTAACATGCAATCATTAGGTTTACCCTAAACCTGTTTATCTATGTTGGTTGAATATTAATGCACAAATTAAACTATTATTGGCGATCACTTGAATTATAATCATATTAACCTAACAAGATTATTAATTATCTTATTAAGCGTGATTACAAGTACAAATTCCCTTTAAACATGCATAAAAGGCGTGATCAAGCAATAACAATAAATAAAAATCAAGCAACATAATAATAATAATAATCATCATCATAATAATATAATAAAAACAATCATAATTGAAATGATCATGTTAAAGCATAATATTAATAGTAAGATCCTAGGCATGATACTAACAAGATTAATAATAAATCCTAGCATGTCACTAAACATCAAAGATCAAAGTTTTAGCCCTTACATAATACTAACATGCTATTAAGAAAGAAAATAGGAAGCATCATAAAAATCATAATTGATATAAGGAACTTATTTCTTACCCTAAACATCAAACTAAGAAATGCATCCTAACATGATACTAGGAATCAAAATAACAACCTAAGTATGAATTCTACATCAAAATATCAATTAAACAATTAAAACACTTACTTGGATGCCTCGTACCTCTTTATAATAACAAAATACACACGTTAGTAACTTCAAGGAAAACATAAAACAAACAATTAAATTAAATAATTGAAATAGAGTTTGGGACCAAACTCTTAGAAATATCAAACCTTTCACGTCTAGGGCAAAGGCAACTTCGAACTTGGCTAGGTGTGTCTAGAACTTCTGAATGCGGAATTTTGTTTGTAAAAAGGTTGGTTTAGAAAGAGAGAGAGAGAAAATCAAGAAATTCTTGATGAGAATTGATGAGAGTTGATGATTAAAAACGGAGGTCTAAGAACGTTATTTA